TACAGTCTCTACGATAAATCGCACTTTCGTTATGCATCGAGAGCGGTTAGCTTGTGCAGTTGAAAATTATTTTTGATCATCTAAAAATGGTGGCATAGCCACATCCAACCCTAATGAATACATCACTCCTAAACAATCTCTGAAGCCACGGTCCACAACAACTACATCCTTCCACATATAAAAAGATCATGAGATAAATCGAATATTTTGCATTAATCTCTACTCTAAATACTTCTTGGAAGGAGGTCAATATGTTGTCGGTGTTTCTTAATAAAATGTCTTTCATCATTGCGGCATCGTTGTTTGAATAGNACCAATGCAGGCAACAATGTATCCAGTGGTTGTAACTATCATCATTGGTTTTAACAGAGATCTCTTTTTGTATAAATTAAAAGTTTTTCTCTGAAATTCATTGTTCCGGCTCTTCTACAATAAAAGAATAAATCATGTTTAAACTCTCTTTTACTTGCAATACCATTGACATAATTAATTTTTTGATGACATGAACTTGTATAATAATTGGCAAATGAATAAAACTTATCATTACAAGCTTCTTCATAACACAATAATGCTTTAGACCAATTTTCATTATTTCGATAACATTTACCTAATTTAATTAATTCGACTGGTTCGATAATTAATTTTTTAAAATTATTTACTTCTACATCTTTTTCAACATTCAATTTAAATTCATTAAATTTTTCAATTAGTTTTCTTTTTACCAATAACATTTATCCTGCTTATATATTCAGTCATTGAATCTAACCAAAATGCCCATCGATTTTTTAAACTATATAATTGAAATTGTTTATATTCACTACCATTATATCTAATTTTTGAATCATTTGATAATGCATTTTCAATCTTTTGATATAATTTAGTAAAACCAATACAAGATAATTTATCATCATCATCATCAAATCCTTGTAATAAATCTTCTTCAGTTTTGATTTTAGGTAAATCATTGATTAAAAACGAATCTAATCTTTCTTTTTCTTGAATATTTCGTAATTGTTTTAATATTTCAATCGATACACCATATTGACTTAGAATAATATATTCACCAGTACCTTTATTACCTTTTCTAGCTGTACGACCGAATGCTTGCTTTTCAATACGTATATTTGTTGGTAAATATGTGGTAATGACATGTAAACCACCATTTTCTTCTAATTTATCAGATGTATCTAGATGTGTACCTGTACCAACTAAGTTAGTTGCAATGATAATATCACAGGGATGTAATTTATTAATTTCAAATTTTTCATAAACACTTTTATCGGGTGGCCCAGATAAAATTGGACACTTTCATTCGTTGTTCATGAGGCATTGTCTGGCAGTCCACCGAGTTGGTTCTAAGCTCAATCGATAGAGAATTGAATTCTCCACAAAACTTGCTATTTGAATCTCTGATAACAGTTTTGTTGTTTGAGCACTATTCAAAATATTGAAGAGTGCTGAGTTGCCTAACTACGACACACTGAAAATAGAAAAACATTTGTCTTGATCCAAAAACAGACTTCATAAGA